TAGTAGGAGATTCTCAGGTAAGATATATGGGCCATGCATTTTGTAACAGAGACAGAAAGATCAGACAGAGAGTGTGTCTTCCTGGAGCTGGTGTTGGTGACATAGTCAGCAGGTTGGATAATATTATGGCAGGTAATGGGATCAAGCCCATTATCTGTCTTAGTGCTGGGGGTAATGACATTGGGAAGGGCAGGAGAGAGGAGCTGCTGGATAAGTACAGGTCAGCCATAGAAGTAGTTAGGTCTAAGGGAGGGATCCCAGTCACATGTAGCATCTTGCCTAGAAAGGGAGTGGGCAATAAATGGATGTCTAGGGCAATTGGTATAAATTGCTGGCTAGACAGGTACTGCAAAGAACTTGCAATCCCATTCATTGATAACTGGGACCTATTCTTTGATAAACGTGATATGTTTGCAAGGGATGGGGTTCATCTCTCTGGGGATGGAGTGGTTGCATTAGCCAATTCAATTGAGAGGGTAATTGATGACTTGTCTAGGAATTTAAACTGATAGATTATAGAGGTATGGGTATTTGTGGGAAACAATCAGGCTGCAGCATTAGGGTTAAAAACAGCGTTATTACTGGGATACCTCAGGGATATGTTTAAAAGACAATATTCAAAATAAAGTTGCTAGTAATGGCAAATCAATTGATCAACAAACAAAGAGGGATAGTAGAGGGCAACGAGTGACTAGCTCCCTTAAAGTTTACTATACAAATAGTAGGAATCTAAGAAATAAGATAGATGAGCTAAGATTACTTGCATGTGTAGGTAATGTAGATATTATTGGTATAACAGAGACCTGGTTCAACCTGAAACATAGAGAAATGCCTTCTGAATGCAACATACAGGGTTATAAACTATTCCACACTGACAGGGTCAATAGGAAGGGTGGTGGGGTGGTGTATGTCAGAGAAAATTTAAATTCTTGTCTTAGACATGATATAAGATTAGAGACATCGAACACAGAATCTGTTTGGCTACAGTTTCTCGAGGGACATGACAAATTAATTTTGGGTGTGATTTATAGGCCCCCAAACCTTGATAGGGAGTGCAGTAAGCTGTTATGGGATGAAATTCATGAGGCATCTAGATATGAAAATGTTGTTATAATGGGAGATTTTAACTTTAAACAAATTGATTGCAACAATATGACAGGAAATCTTGAGTCTAGTGACTTTCTTGATACGGTTCAGGATTGCTTTTTAGAACAGGTTGTGACAGAACCAACTAGAGGAAACAATCTGCTTGACTTGGTTCTTGCCAACAAAGATTCACTAATTAATAATCTTGAGGTTAATGATGAGCTTGGGGAAAGTGATTACAAATCACTTAGTTTTAATATATCACCCAGATAACTGCAATCAAATCTCTGTCCCAGATTTTCGCTTGGCCGACTTCATGGGACTGAAAAATTACCTGGGTGGGCTAAATTGGGATGTCCTGACTATGGGCCTGGTAGGTGATCTTGGTTGCCAATATGACGTATTTCAGAGCATAGTTCTAGCTGCCCAGACAACTTTTGCTCCGAGTAGGGAAATTAGATCTAACAAAAATGATCCCAAATGGATGAACAATAGATTAAAACATCTCATTGGTCAAAAGAGAGGCATATATAGGCATATCAAAAAAGGGGATGGGCAGTTAAGAAATCAATATATTCAATTAAAGAGAGAAATAAAGAAAGGAATAAGAAAAGCAAAAAGGGATTATGAGGCTAAGGTCGCAAGGGATTCAAAGATTAACCCTAAAGGATTCTTTCAGGTATACAGAAGTAAGATTAGGGACAAGATTGGCCCACTTAAGAGTAACTGGTCAGATCACTGACAGTGATAAGGATATGTGTGAAATTCTAAATACCTACTTCCTCTCAGTTTTCACCCAGGAAAATACTAGCGATATTCCTGAAATAAGAGATTATGTAGAACAGGATGATAATAAACTATGTACAATTGCGGTAACTAGTGGCATGGTCCTCAGACAAATAGAGAAACTAAAACCTAACAAATCCCCAGGCCCTGATGAACTGTTTGCAAGGGTGTTAAAGGAATGTAAAGAGGAACTTAGCATACCTTTGGCTAATCTTTTTAACATATCACTACAAACTGGCATAGTGCCTGATAAGTGGAAAATGGCAAATGTAATACCTATTTACAAGGCAGGTGACAGGTCCTTGGCTTCAAACTATAGACCAATAAGCCTTACCTCCATAGTGGGAAAATTTATGGAATCAATAATTGCCGAAGCAATTCGTAGCCATCTTGACAGGCACAGATTGATTAATGAATCTCAACACGGTTTTACAAAGGGGCGTTCCTGTCTTACGAATTTACTTGAGGAGGTAGATCATGGTAATGAATATGATATTGTGTATATGGACTTCAGTAAGGCTTTCGATAGAGTTCCACACCAGAGGCTATTGAGGAAACTTAAGGCATACGGAATAGGAGGAGAAATTTTTTCCTGGGTAGAGGCATGGCTGACAAATAGACAGCAGAGAGTTTGCATAAATGGGGGGAAATCAGAATGGGGGCACGTCACAAGCAGTGTTCCTCAGGGGTCAGTGTTGGGCCTGTTGTTGTTCACAATTTACATAAATGACATAGATGTGGAATAAATAGAAACATAAGCAAATTTGCTGATGACACCAAAATAGGCTGTCCAATTCATTCTAATGAGGACACTAGAGCACTCCAGGATGATTTGAATAGACTGATGCAATGGTCGGAGAAGTGGCAGATGCAGTTTAATATTGACAAATGCAAAGTTCTAAATGTTGGACAGGTAAATAACCATGCCACATATAAACTAAATAATGTAGATCTTAATACTACTGATTGCAAAAAGGATTTAGGAGTTCTGGTTAGCAGTAATTTAAAACCAAGACAACAGTGCATTAGTGTTCACAATAAAGCTAACAGAATTCTTGGCTTCATATCTAGAAGTATAAATAATAGAAGTCCTCAGGTTGTTCTTCAACTCTATATATTCTTGGTTAGGCCTCATTTAGACTATGCTGCTCAGTTCTGGTCACCGTATTACAGAATGGATATAAATGCTCTGGAAAACGTACAGAGGAGGATGACAAAGATGATCCCATGTATCAGAAATCTTCCCTATGAGGACAGACTGAGGGCCCTGAATCTGCACTCTCTCGAAAGGCGTAGAATTAGGGGAGATATGATCGAGGTGTATAAATGGAAAACAGGAATAAATAAAGGGGATGTAAATAGCGTGCTGAAAATTTCCAGCCAAGGCAGGACTCGCAGCAATGGTTTCAAGTTGGAAAAATTCAGATTCAGAAAGGATATAGGAAAGCACTGGTTTGGTAATAGAGTTGTGGATGAGTGGAACAAACTCCCGAGTACAGTTATTCAGGCTAAAACATTGTGTAGTTTTAAAAATAGGTTAGATAAATACATGAGTGGGTGTGGGTGGGTGTGAGTTGGACCTGACTAGCTTGTGCTGCTGGGTCTGGTGCAGTGCTCCATCCTTGAGTGGAGATGATCAGACTGGGTGGGTCATTGGGCTAATCCGGGGGGGGGGGGGGGGACATGGACCTGCTCTGCGTGGGTCAGTAGGCCTGTTGCAGTGTTCCTTCTTTCTTATGTTCTTATATTCTTAAGATGGGCAGAGAGCAGCAACTTCACTCTGGTTGTACCTTTCTCCAGAACATCACTCCATCTGAGATCATATATACCCAGGATGACTCGAGTATGGAACACATTCGTACAGCATAATGATGTCAACGAGATAACGTCAGATGATCAAATGAAAATGCTGGCCCACAGATGGCTCCAACTTCATCCTGTTCCCTACTTGCATGTCTCATAACAATAAAAATGCTTTCAAATGAGCTGATGTAGGTAACAGCTCTTAGCTTGCCAATAAAGTTAGGAATCCTTAACCTGTAAATAGCTTGACAATAAAACTAGGATCCTTAACCTTGTCAAACCCTGTGTCAAAAAAAAAGAGAGAGAGAGAGAGACAGAGAGACTGACAGACACAGACAGAGACAGAGACAGAGAGACAGACAGACAGAGACAGAGACACACAGACACAGAGAGAGACAGAGATAGAGAGAGAGACAGAGACAGAGAGATTGATATATATAGAGAGAGAGAGACAAAGACAGACAGACAGACACTAACCAACCAACCTCAACAGCCATCTACTGACAAGGCAGGGTGACCCAATGACAATTATTCATTCACTGTCTTGACAGAAGTGAACTGACATCACAATTCAGATTACCCTTCAACTGCAACTTCCCCACCCCTCCTTCAGAGTGCAGGCACTGCCCTGCATGATAGCACCATCAAACAGCCCCCAATTCTCCCCTGATAATCATGCCTTCAGATTACTTACAGTAGGGAGAGTTATAAACAATAATGCTTTCCAAATACCAGTCACTAACTTTACAACACTCTGCACTGGATATGCTCTCCAATACATAGAATGAGGTTAGAGTATCATAGAGACATGTTTTGGGGGACTGAAAGTGCACAGGTTGAGACTACATAGATTAGACAATGGTAAAGCTGTATAAAAATCTATTAGTTCAGCTACCACATGCAGAAAATTGCATTTTCATGAGTTACCATTTTGGTGTAATAAAATCTGAAACTGAAAAAATGCTTTAACAATCTGTATAAACCATCACACACACCATTCATCCAAGCATTCTAGATATCATTAAAATCTATTATACAAAATTGCATCTATAAAGAATGTATTGACAGTTATGTAATCATGAGATGATAATCCTGATAAATATAGTTCTCCAATACTGTATTTGTGAGTATTGCTTTTATTTTACTAAAGTACAAAAAAAAAAAAAAAAATCTTCATGGTATTTTAACTAGCACCCAGTTACTTTAAAGCAGTGTATAGCAATGACTTTTGGGTAATAGCTTCACAGACATCATCATGTTCAATCTTTAATATTATTTTTTCAAGCTGACTTTTATGCCACTTCCACTGATTATTAAATCATAAATTTCCAATCATTAACTTTATTTAATGGCAAATCTTACAAAAAATACTGACTTTCATAACTATGACTTCAATGGCTGGAGCAATTATAAAAATGAGTAATCAATATATTACAATAAAAATCATATTACAATAATTATAATTAACAACTTATGTACTACAAAACATAAATCATATTATAGTAGATGAACTACCTGTCTACAACTGGTGAATGAACATTTGCAATTTTGAAGGAGTACAATACAATAAAAACAAAGGCACTTTCACTAAGTATAGAATGACTGCACTCAGTACATATAAAGATTCCTGAATTTTAAAAATGTGACTTTCATTGAGATACATTACATCATTATATATGACTAGCATAGTATATCTTAGAGCTCCAACTCTTGTTCATGTGAATGAATAGGAAAAATTAAATTTAGCTTTGACTCATAAATTAGCAACAACAATAATATAATGTGCTTTGCATCAATAATCTAAAAATGGGATCATGTTTGGGTAATCATGGAGATAGGTATTATAATTGTAAGTCTCATTTTTAAATTCAAGAATAACCAACTTTTCTAAGACTTACCAATGGAAAGTGTGAAAAAACATGCCAATGTACCAAAATGTTTGTCATACATGTAAAAGTGAATACTGTATAAAAAAGGTCAATGATAATCATTACTATACATGATAAAATTCTATGAAATTTAAAAAAAATAGAAAAATTATATAATAATATTTTAACATATTTCATACACAACCACAGTTAACCCTTTCAGGGTCGGTCCAGTATATGTACAGCTTGAGAGCTAGTGTCGGTCCCGTATTTATACGCCAAAATTCCAGTACCTTCAAATCTGGTGGAAGAAAGCTGGTAGGCCTACATATGAAAGAATGGGTCTGCATGGTCAGTGTGCACAGTAAAAAAAAATCCTGAAGAAGACAGTGCATAATGAGAAAAAAAACTCCGACTGTGTTTTTGGTTTAAAACAGCGAATTTGCAGTGTATTTTCATATGGTGTTTATGTTTGTATTCTCATTTTCTTGGTCTCATATGTTAGAAAAGAAGATATATTACATAAATAGAGATGATTTTGATTGGTTTCATGAAGAAAAGTACCTTGAAATTGAACTCAAAGTAGCGGAAATGTTTGATTTTTGCCGGTGTTCAAGAGTAAACAAATCACGCCATGTGTCCAATACACATCAACTGGTGATGTAATATTCTTTCACAAGTGTACTGATATTATTTATACCATTTTTACAATAATGCAATAGTCTGCGTAACAGTAAATCTTCTATTTTTTGTGAGAATAAAAATTCAAAATGGAAAGCAAGAGTAATATAAGAGGGGCCTGGAGACATGACTAATGAACAGAAAAAATGTTATTTTAGTGCCAGGAATGTCTGTCTGGTTTATTCTGAACCCTATTTTGAAATTGGCATCTTTTGAAATTTGTGTGAAATTGGCCAAATTGCCAATTTCTGACCACTTTACTGGGTAGTTGAAATCGGTAAATGGGTGGTTTCTTGTACTCAATCAATAGAACAAATAGAGTTCTAGAGAAATAGCTATGATTTTAGTCGACTGGAACAATGGAATTGACTGAAAATAGGGCTCAAAGTGGGTGAAATTGCCGATGCGTAAATATCACCAGGATGCTAACTTCGCAAGAGTGTAATTTCATAAGTTTTACATCAAATTTCGTACTTTTGGGGTCATTACCATGGGGAAAAGCTTCTCTATCATTTCACAAGAATTTTTATTTTTTTTTTTTGAAAAATTTTTGACCCTGAGAGTGAGTTAAGGATCGGGGTTCTCAACCCTGAAAGGGTTAAAAAAGTACACAATAAAGGCATACAGTCAAACCTCATTATTCTTAAATCTCGAGTACTAGCTTTCCAAAAATAGAATAATTTTCATTAAGCAGAAGTGCAACAGTAGTATCACTGAGCATAATTCATTCAACCCAGTAGTAAGTCATAAAATTTCACCTATTAATCTTTAATAGATTAACGAGAATAAAAGCCCAAAAACACTATGATGTACGTATATATCCACTCAGACATATAAAAATGCTTTTGATCAGCTATTACTGTGCAACATACAGTAGAAAGAATACACATTGCCTGGTATACAATTGACTTGTAAACTAGCAGTAAATATAAAATTTGCAAAATATCTAAAAAATCTTGTTTTATTCTCACATTTGTATAAAAAGACTGAAATAAAATGTGCTATGTTTGTATATTTTGCATTTGTGCCAATGATTTAAACCTAAATATCTATCTAGTGATTTCTACAACAGTGATTGCCGGTACTTCTGTAATGAACAGACTTTAGATTTAAAATCTTTTGAAAGCTCAGATATTAAAAATGGGGAAAAAGAAATCAAGAAAAGCTTTTTCCCATTTATATAGGATATTTTCATAGGTAGTAGGTTGGTAGACAGCAATCGCCCAGGGAGGCACAACCGTCTTGCTAAGTGAGTGTAAACTGGAAGCCTTTAATTGTTTTACATGATGGTAGGAGTGCTGCTATCTTTTATCTGTCTCATAAACATGCAAGGTTTCAGGTACATCTTGCTACTTCTTAGGTCACACTACACATACATGTACAAGCATATATATACACACCCCTCTGGGTTTTCTTCTATTTTCTTACTAGTTCTTGTTCTTGTTTATTTCCTCTTACCTACATGGGGAAGTGGAACAGAATTCTTCCTCTGTAAGCCATGCGTGTTGTAAGAGGCGACTAAAATGCCAGAAGCAAGGGGCTAGTAACCCCTTCTCCTGTATAAATTACTAAATTTAAAAAGAGAGACTTTCGTTTTTCTTTTTGGGCCACCGTACCTCGATGGGATACGGCCGGTTTGTTGAAAGAAAGAAGAAAGAAACATGCAAGATTTCAGGTACATCTTGCTACTTCTACTTACACTTAGGTCACACTACATGTACATACACAAGCATATATATACACACCCCTCTGGGTTTTCTGCTATTTTCTTTCTAGTTCATGTTCTTGTTTATTTCCTCTTATCTCCATGGGGAAGTGGAACAGAATTCTTCCTCTGTAAGCCATGCGTGTTGTAAGAGGCGACTAAAATGCCGGGGGCAAGGGGCTAGTATCCCCTTCTCTTGTATAAATTACTACTAAATTTAAAAAACGAAACTTTTGTTTTTCTTTTTGGGCCACCCTGCCTTGGTGGGATATGGCCGGTTTGTTGAAAAAAAAAAATGTAAGATTTCAGGCACATCTTGCTACTTCTACTTACACTTAGGTCACACTACACATGCATGTACAAGCATATATATACACACCCCTCTGGGTTTTCTTCTTTTTTCTTACTAGTTGTTTTTCTTGTTTATTTCCTCTTATCTCCATGGGGAAATGGAACAGAATTCTTCCTCCGTAAGCTATGCCTGTTGTAAGAGGGGACTAAAATGCCAGGAGCAAGGGGCTAGTAACCCCCTTCTGTATACACTACTAAAGCTAAAAAGAGAAACTTTTTTTTTTTTTGTCCACCTGCTTCAGTGGGTTATGGCCACCGAATTAACAACGTTAAGTCTTACACACAACCAGTATTGGCAAACTTTGGTGACAACAGGCTCCTATATGAAAAAACTAAGCATTTAGAGTTTGTCTTTTTTTTTTTCAAGATAAATTCCTGGTAGTCTTTATTTATGATTTTTTATTAAAAAAATTAAATGTTTATGTGATTTTGAAAGACATTTGTGCATAAAACTGACATCCTTTGGGCACGATTAATATCAAACTATTGCCAAATATACCTGAGCATGCTCTTCTCCAATGCACTGCTCTAATGCAGAAATCCCTAATGTTGTCATTTGTAACATTATTTTACTGTGGCAATAGTGTGTTCATCAAGATACTGCAAAGTGTCTCCTGATGTGGGTCTTCAGTAAATGGTGATTCACTCAGTAATTAAGCAACTGTTGGCTAACCAGTGCTATATACTAGTGACTAAGAATTTTGTTGTGTACTTGGAAGTTGGCTTTCCACCCCATTTATAAAAGAAAGGATCACAGTTTCATGCCTTACTGTACTACAAATTACATCACATATAATATTTAAATGTGAAAAATATATAATTATATATATTTTACCAATTATGTGTAAGATGCAACTATGCAAATTCTTCCTAAGTAAAACACTTGTATGACACTTTACAACTAATTATCTAAACACTAATTTTCCAAAATTTTCTGCTTTATACTCATTTAACACCTTTTTACACAGCTTTCTTATCACAGTCCTCAATATGCAGAACAGGCATCAAATTATGCCTCTTACTGGATGTTACTTCTCAATAAACTTGTCCAACAACATACTCTTCTCGAAATCGACTAATGCTTACCCTGTAGCCTAAATGCCTTACCAATTCTGTTCTCAACAGGTAAAACATTTCTTTTTCTCCCCAAGATACTACCTCTCTTTCTTTCTCTCAACTATTACCTTGCTTCCAGTGTCAGACATTCTTGTGACACCATCATGCAAACAAATTTTAGGAATGAGTCTTTGATCGAACTTTACTGCATGATTACAACAAAAATATATAAAAAAATACTGTACAACATACATACATTTGACTTGCTTCTCACTTAAAACAAAGCCTTGGTTGAGTTGCGAGATGCTGCCGAAATAAAAAACTCAGTGGCAACTTACAGCCACCATCAGTTTTTCCATTGGATTTACTGATGGAGCATGTGAAATCTTTCATTTAACTGGAGATTTGGCTAAGTACAACCTGATACGAGGTGTGACTGTAAAGATAAAATTCAACATCATCTCAAAGATTGTCTTTCAAGTGCACATTAATTTTAAAATATGATAAAAAAAAAAAACATGAAAAGATTGACAACAGAGCTGTCATATTAAAAAATAAACTATCATAATATTTCATTCAATGATCTGAAATACCTCCAATTTACTTTTTATTTTCTATAACACCTATAAATATATACATTAAATGCAAAAAGATACTGGAGGGAAGTGGTATAAAATACTGACAAGATGGATAAAACACACAAGAGCAATATTATGCAATCCTTTACTGATGTTCTGCCCAAACACAAAGAGGCAGAAAGGATGTGCATATATACAGAAAGCATAGTGACGTGAAGAATCGGGTGCGGCACACTGAAGCTAATTCTGGATAGAATGATGACAGGTTAGACAAATATATGGCTGAAGAGATGCTGGATTCGAGAAGGACCTGTCTAGTAGTAGTACAGTTGTACTACAATTGTGGTACAATTGTACTACTCCTACCTACACGGCATTCCACCTGACTCCTGTCACTGTATATACTTGTTTCTTAATTATCTCTGCATTAGGACTGAAAAAACCACTTGTGGCAAAACGTTTCCTTTAACCCTTTCAGGGTCCGTTCTGTAGATCTACGGCTTTACGTTCAGGGTCCAAACTGTAGATCTACGCCATGAGCTCAGCTTACTCTGATAAGCTGTGAGTGGTAAATTTGGGCCTAGATATGAGAGAATACATCTATGTGGTATATGTGTACCACATAAAACAAATCCTGCAGCAAACAGTGTATAATGAGAGGAAAAAACTGAGACCGTGATTTTCGATTATAACAGCGACTTTGCAGTGTTTTTTCGTATGTTTTTTACGGTTGTATTTGTGATTTCTTGGTCTCATTTGATAGAATGGAAGACATATTACAGAAATGAAGATGATTTTGATTGGTTTTAGTACTGGAAATGGCTTGAAACTGAGCTCAAAGTAGCGGAAATGTTAAATTTTTGTCGATGTTCAACAGTAAACAAACGACCTCGCACATCTAATACACGCCAGCTGGTGGGTCTAATATACATTCACAAATGTGATGATGATATTTATACAATTATTACAATATTGCATAACAGTAAATCTTCTATTTTTTGGTTAGAATAAAAATTCATTATGTGAATAAAAAAATCAAAATGGAATTCATTTGTAAAGCCTGAAAACATAACTAATGAGCAGAGGAAATGTTAGTTTAGTGCCAGGAATGCCTGCATTGTTTATTCTGGACCCTACTTTGAAATTGGAATATTTTGGACTTTGTGTTAAATTGGCCAAATTACCAATTTCCAATCACTTTATTTTGTAGTTGAAACAGTTGACTGGGCGATTTCTTGTGCTCAATCAATAGAATAGAAGTAATACTAGTGAAATAGCTAAGAATTTGGTCGACTGGAATAATGTAATTGGCCTAAAATGGGAGTCAAAGTCGGCAAAATCGCCGATTCATAAATATCGCTGACACATCAAAATTCGCGAGAGCATAATTTCGTCAATTTTCCATCAAATTTCATATTTTTTGTTTTATTACCTTAAGAAAAAGATTCTCTACCATTTCATAAGAAAAAATAAATTTTTTTTTTTTTTGAAAATTCTTGGATGCTGGTGCACCCTTTGAAATTTGGCCTCTGGACCCTGAAAGGGTTAATAAATGTCCTGAACTGTACATAAGTGTCTTTTTCCACATCTTGTTTGTATCACCATACCATTTTTCATACTGTGACCTGTTGCTATACATGTATTATTTTTTTTTATTAACACATCGGCCGATTCCCACCAAGGCAGGGTGGCCCGAAAAAGAAAAACTTTCATCATTCACTCCATCACTGCCTTGCTAGAGGGGTGCTTTACACTACAGTTATAAAACTGCAACATTAACACCTCTCCTTCAGAGTGCAGACACTGTGCCTCTCATCTCCAGGACTCAAGTCTGGCCTGCCAGTGTCCCTGAATCCCCAAACAAATATTACCCTGCTCACACTCCAACAGCATGTCAAGTATTAAAAACCATTTGTCTCCATTCACTCCTATCAAACATGCTCATGCACGCTTGCTGGAAGTCCAAGCCCCTCACACACAAAACCTCCTTTACCCCTTCCCTCCAACACTTTCTAGGCCGACCCCTGCCCTGCCTTCCCTCCACTACAGATTTATACACTCGAAGTTATTCTGCTTTGTTCTCTCTACATGTCTAAACCACCTCAACAACCCCTCCTCAGTCCTCTGGACAATAGTTTTGGTAATCCTACACCTTCTCCTAATTTCCAAACTATGAATTCTCTGCATTATATTCACACCACACATTGCCCTCAGACATGACATCTCCACTGCCTCCATCCTTCTCCTCATTACAACATTCATTACCCATGCTTCACACCCATACAAGAGTGTTGGTACAACTATACTCTCATACATTCCCCTCTTTCCTTCCAGACAAAGTTCTTAGTCTCTACAGACTCCTAAGTGCACCACTCACCCTTTTCTCCTCATGAATTCTATGATTCACCCCCTCCTTCATAGACTCATCTGCTGACACGTCCACTCCTAAATATCTGAATACATTCACCTCCTCCATACTCTCTCCCTCCAATTTGATATCCAATCTTTCACCACCTAATCTTTTTATCCTCATAACCTAACTCTTTCCTATATTCACTTTTAATTTTCTTCTCTTACATACTCTACCAAATTCATCCACCAACCTCTGCAACTTCTCTTCAGAATCTCCCAAAAATACAGTGTCATCAGCAAAGAGCAACTGTGGCAACTCCCACTTTGTGTTTGATTCTTTATCTTTTAACTCCACACTTCTTGCCACAACCCTAGCATTCACTTCTCTTACAACCCCATCTATAAATATACTGAACAACCATGGTGACATCACACATCCTTGTCTAAGGCCTACTTTTACTGGGAAATAATCTCCCTCTCTCCTACATACTCTAACCTGAGCCTCACTATCCTTGTAAAAGCTCTTCACTGCTTTCAGTAACCTACCTCCTATACCATACACCTGCAACATCTACCACATTGCCCCCCCTATCCACCCTGTCACATCCCTTTTCCAAATCCATAAATGCCACAAAAACCTCTTTACACTTATCTAAATACTGTTCACCTATGTTTCACTGTAAACACTTGGTCTACACACCCCCTACCTTTCCTAAAGCCTCCTTGTTCATCTGCTACCCTACTCTCCGTCTTACTCTTATTTTTTTCAATAATAACTCTATCATACACTTTACCAGGTATACTCAACAGACTTATTCCCCTATAGTTTTTGCACTCTTTTTTATCCCCTTTGCCTTTATACAAAAGAACTATGCATGCTCTCTGCCAATCCCTAGGTACCTTACCCTCTTCCATACATTTATTAAATAATAACACCAACCACTCCAAAACTATATCCCCACCCGCTTTTAACATTTCTATCTTTATCCCATCAATCCCAGCTGCCTTACCCTCTTTCATTCTACCCACTGCCTCACAAACTTCCCCCACACTCACAACTGGCTCATCCTCACTCCTACAAGATGTTATTCCTCCTTACCCTATACACGAAATTACAGCTTCCCTATCTTCATCAACATTTAACAATTCCTCAAAATATTCCCGCCATCTTCCCGATACCTCTAACTCTCCATTTAAACTCTCCTCTCCTATTTTTAACTGTCAAATCCATTTGTTCCCTACGCTTCCTCAACTTATTAATCTCACTCAAAAACATTTTCTTATTTTCAACAAAATTTGTTGATAACATCTCACCCACTCTCTCATTTGATCTCTTTTTAGATTGCTTCACCACTCTCTTACCCTCTCTTTTTTTCTCAATATAATCTTCCCTCCTTGCATCACTTCTACTTTGTAAAAACCTCTCGTATGCTAACTTTTTCTCCCTTACTACTCTCTTTACATCATCATTCCACCAATCACTCTTCTTCCCTCCCGCACCTACTTTCCTGTAACCACAAACTTCTGCTGAACGCTCTAACACTACATTCTTAAACCTACCCCATACATCTTTGACCCCATTGCCTATACTATGGAATAGCAATAAAGAAGTTTCAGCTATGTTGCAGAAACCGTTCAACCAGAACAACGATTTCTACAACATAGCCAAAACTCTTGCCAAGAAACTTTATTGCTATCCCACATATCAACAGATCACAGTATGGAGGAACACTGCAGCAGGCCTACTGGCCCAAGCTAGACAGGCCCTTCAAATCCAGCCTCTTAGCCATATATTTGACCAACCTGTCATCAATCTAAGAACATAAGAAAGGAGGAACACTGCAGTAGGCCTGTTGGCCCATACTGAGCAGGTCCTTCACAAATCCAACCCACTAACAGAATATTTGCTCAACCTATTTTAGTTCTACCCTAACAATAAGCTCTGATAAATCCACTAACTCAGGTGCAAGTCCTACTCAAATTCAACCCCTCTCACTCATGTATTCATTCAACCTAAATTTGAAACTTCCCAAGGATTTAGCTTCAATTACCCCACTAGGCAGATTCTTCCACTCATCAGCTACCCTATTTCCAAACCAATATTTTCCTATATCCTTTCTAAATCTAGAATTAGCTTCAACATACCTCACCTCCTGACTCTTCATGTCCTTCTGGTCACTATATATATATATATATATATATATATATATATATATATATATATATATATATATATATATATATATATATATATAGATATATATATATATATATATAGTAGGTTGGTAGACAGCAACTACCCAGGGAGGTACTACCGTCCTGCCAAGTGAGTGTAAAACGAAAGCCTGTAATTGTTTTACATGATGGTAGGATTGCTGGTGTCTTTTGTCTGTCTCTTAAATATGCAAGATTACAGGCATATCTTGCTACATCTACTTACACTTAGGTCACACTACACATACATGTACACGTTTATTTATACACACTCATCTGAGTTTTCTTTGATTTTATCTTAATAGTTCTTGGTCTTATTACTTTTCCTTTTATATCCATGGGGAAGTGGAATAAGAATCTTTCCTCCATAAGCCATGCGTGTTGTAAAAGTCAACTAAAATGCCGGGAACAATGGGCTAGTAACCCCTTTTCCTGTAAAGATTACTAAAAAGAATAATAAGAAGAAAATTGTCAAAGTGGGAAGTCTGAATGTGCGTGGATGTTGTGCAAATGATAAGAAAGAGATGATTGTGGATGTTATGAATGAGAAGAAACGGGATGTCCTGGCTTTAAGTGAAACAAAGCTGAAGGGGGTGGGAGAGTTTCAATGGAGAGGAATAAATGGGATTAGGTCAGGGGTTTCAAATAGAGTTAGAGCTAAAGAAGGAGTAGCAATAATGTTGAAGGATAAGCTATGGAAGAAAAAGAGGGACTACAAATGTATTAATTCAAGGATTATGTGGAGTAAAATAAAGATTGGATGTGAAAAGTGGGTTATAGTAAGCGTGTATGCACCTGGAGAAGAGAGAAGTGTAGAGGAGAGAGAGAGATTTTGGGAAATGTTGAGTGAATGTGTGGAGAGTTTTGAATCAAGTGTGAGAGTAATGGTGGTTGGGGATTTCAATGCTAAAGTGGGTAAAAATGTTATGGAGGGAGTAGTAGGTAAATTTGGGGTGCCAGGGGTAAATGTAAATGGGGAGCCTTTAATTGAGCTATGTGTAGAAAGAAATTTGGTAATAAGTAATACATATTTTATGAAAAAGAGGATAAATAAATATACAAGGTATGATGTAGCATGTAATGAAAGTAGTTTGTTAGATTATGTATTGGAGGATAAAAGGTTGATGGGTAGGCTCCAGGATGTACATGTTTATAGAGGGGTAAATGATATATCGGATCATTATTTAGTTGTAGCTACAGTTAGAGTAAGAGGTAGATGGGAAAAGAGGAAGGTGGCAACAACAAGTAAGAGGGAGGTGAAAGTGTATAAACTAAGGGAGGAGGAAGTTCGGGTGAGATATAAGCGACTATTGGCAGAAAGGTGGGCTAGTGCAAAGATGAGTAGTGGGGGGGTTGAAGAGGGTTGGAATAGTTTTAAAAATGCAGTATTAGAATGTGGGGCAAAAGCTTGTGGTTATAGGAGGGTGGGGGTAGGAGGAAAGAGGAGTGATTGGTGGAATGATGAAGTAAAGGGTGTGATAAAAGAGAAAAAGGTAGCTTATGAGAGGTTTTTACAAAGCAGAAGTGTTATAAGAAGAGCAGAGTATATGGAGAGTAAAAGAAAGGTGAAGAGAGTGGTGAGAGAGTGCAAAAGGAGAGCAGATGATAGAGTGGGAGAGGCACTGTCAAGAAATTTTAATGAAAATAAGAAAAAATTTTGGAGTGAGTTAAACAAGTTAAGAAAGCCTAGGGAAAGTATGGATTTGTCAGTTAAAAACAGAGTAGGGGAGTTAGTAGATGGGGAGAGGGAGGTATTAGGTAGATGGCGAGAATATTTTGAGGAACTTTTAAATGTTGAGGAAGAAAGGGAGGCGGTAATTTCATGCACAGGCCAGCGAGGTATACCATCTTTTAGGAGTGAAGAAGAGCAGAATGTAAGTGTGGTGGAGGTATGTGAGGCATTACGTAGAATGAAAGGGGGTAAAGCAGCTGGAACTGATGGGATCATGACAAATATGTTAAAAGCAGGGGGGATATAGTGTTGGAGTGGTTGGTACCTTTGTTTAATAATAAGTATGAAAGAGGGGAAGGTACCTAGGGATTGGCAGAAAGCATGTATAATCCCTTTATATAAAGGGAAAGGGGACAAAAGAGATTGTAAAAATTATAGAGCAATAAGTTTACTGAGTATACCAGGAAAAGTATACGGTAGGGTTATAATTGAATGAATTAGAGGTAAGACAGAATGTAGGATTGTGGATGAGCAGGGAGGCTTCAGAGTGGGTAGGGGATGTGTAGATCAAGTGTTTACATTGAAGCATATATGTGAACAGTATTTAGATAAAGGTAGGGAAGTTTTTATTGCATTTATGGATTTAGAAAAGGCATATGATAGAGTGGATAGAGGAGCAATGTGGCAGATGTTGCAAGTACAGTGGACCCCCGCATAACGATAACCTCCGAATGCGACCAATTATGTAAGTGTATTTATGTAAGTGCGTTTGTACGTGTATGTTTGGGGGTCTGAAATGGACTAATCTACTTCACAATATTCCTTATGGGAATAAATTCGGTCAGTACTGGCACCTGAACATACTTATGGAGTGAAAAAATATCGTTAACCGGGGGTCCACTGTATATGGAATAGGTGGTAAGTTACTAAATGCTGTTAAGAGTTTTTATGAGGATAGTGAGGCTCAGGTTAGGGTGTGTAGAAGAGAGGGAGAATACTTCTCGGTAAAAGTAGGTCTTAGACAGGGATGTGTAATGTCACCATGGTTGTTTAATATATTTATAGATGGGGTTGTAAAAGAAGTAAATGCTAGGGTGTTCGGGAGAGGGGTGGGATTAAATTATGGGGAATCAAATTCAAAATGGGAATTGACAGTTACTTTTTGCTGATGATACTGTGCTTATGGGAGATTCTAAAGAAAAACTGCAAAGGTTAGTGGATGAGTTTGGGAATGTGTGTAAAGGTAGAAAGTTGAAAGTGAACATAGAAAAGAGTAAGGTGATGAGGGTATCAAATGATTTAGATAAAGAAAAATTTGATATCAAATTGGGGAGGAGGAGTATGGAAGAAGTGAATGTTTTCAGATACTTGGGAGTTGACGTGTCGGCGGATGGATTTATGAAGGATGAGGTTAATCATAGAATTGATGAGGGAAAAAAGGTGAGTGGTGCATTGAGGTATATGTGGAGTCAAAAAACTTTATCTATGGAGGCAAAGAAGGGAATGTATGAAAGTATAGTGGTACCAGCACTCTTATATGGATGTGAAGCTTGGGTGGTAAATGCAGCAGCGAGGAGACGGTTGGAGGCAGTGGAGATGTCCTGTCTAAGGGCAATGTGTGGTGTAAATATTATGCAGAAAATTCGGAATGTGGAAATTAGGAGAAGGTGTGGAGTTAATAAAAGCATTAGTCAGAGGGCAGAAGAGGGGTTGTTGAGGTGGTTTGGTCATTTAGAGAGAATGGATCAAAGTAGAATGACATGGAAAGCATATAAATCTATAGGGGAAGGAAGGAGGGGTAGGGGTCGTCCTCGAAAGGGTTGAGAGAGGGGGTAAAGGAGGTTTTGTGGGCTAGGGGCTTGGGCTTCCAGCAAGCGTGCGTGAGCATGTTAGATAGGAGTGAATGGAGACGAATGATACTTGGGACCTGACGATCTGTTGGAGTGTGAGCAGGGTAATATTTAGTGAAGGGATTCAGGGAAACCGGTTATTTTCATGTAGTCGGACTTGAGTTCTGGAAATGGGAAGTACAATGCCTGCACTTTAAAGGAGGGGTTTGGGATATTGGCAGTTTGGAGGGATATGTTGTGTATCTTTATACGTATATGCTTCTAAACTGTTGTATTCTGAGCACCTCTGCAAAAACAGTGATAATGTGCGAGTGTGGTGAAAGTGTTGAATGATGATGAAAGTATTTTCTTTTTGGGGATTTTCTTTCTTTTTTGGGTCACCCTGCCTCGGTGGGAGACGGCCGACTTGTTGAAAAAAAAAAAAAAAAAAAAAAGATACTTGTGCCCTGGGAAGTACAGTGCCTGCACTTTAAAGGAGGGGTTTGCAATATTGGCTATTTGGAGTGATATCTAAACTGTCATATACCTCTGCAAAGACAGTGATTATGTGTGAATGATGGTGAAAGTGTTTCTTTTTCGGATCACCATGCCTTTGTGGGAGACATCTGCGTGTTAAAAAAAAATATATATATATATATATATACATGTATATATATGCACATCTTTTCTGCCCAGGTAGATCTGTTTGCATCTATATAAAGTCCATTATGTGAGTAAACGTTGTCAATAAAGGAACACTTAATACTGCATTTGTGCAGAAGATATTACCCATTACCGAGGTTAAGTGGTGAATGTACATTATTCCCTGCCAACCCTTGAGCACACCTGCCCCATGCACATACTGTTACACGAGTTAGCTTAAAACTTCAGTATTGCTAATGCACTGTATCAAATAATTAAGGCAGGTTAATTTAGCTGTCACTCTTACTACAGGTACCTTCATTCACTTGATAAAATATAATAACAAAAGCAATCACTAATGCAGTGACTTTTTGTATTCTGTATAGCATTACCACTTCATTCTGTATAATTAGCAAGTTTTCTGGCACAGAAAGGAAAAAAAATTATTAGTGAACTTCAAGTGTTAGACAAACAGCAACTTCATTACAAAAATATTTAACACTAAAATGTTGTTGGAACAACTTGATGTCCATTAAAATCTTGAGAGTCAGGCCCAAACAAAGAGCATAATCCAATGTCAGCATCAGTGTCATCAACACGAGGTTGTTTTGGACGAGGGTTTTTGAACATAGGCGGAAGTTCGTTCATGTGCACTTCCTTCTTTAAAGCCTGTCCTACATTACGACCCACAATCTGCAGAAAAAGTATCTTACATCAATAGCAAAAATCACTAGTAAAATAATAATTATTAATGAAGATATGTAAATGGTTCAGAGAACCAACAAGCTGATAAATTACACAAGTATGCAACACTTGGGTATCTTTACAATGGGAACATTTTGCCACACAGTGGCTTCACCAGTCCAGTACAAAGAATGATGAAGCTTAGGAGTTTGAAGTAATCAGTTTCTCACCCTGGAGTTGATGTAATCAGTCCATCAATCTTAATAAGAATAAGCATATGTGCAAATGGGCTTATATACTGCAGACAGATGAGCTGAAGAGGTCGTAGGCAGTGTCACCTTAGACAAATCCATAGGGGAAAGTAGCTTATCCCTATAGGTTTAGGCAAGCATAAAATTCCCTGTATCAAGATGCCAGGATGTTGTTGTCTGACAGGGATGTAGATAAATGGTTCAGAGAACTGACAAGTTGATAAATTAGACTGATGAAGCCACTGTGTGGTTAAATTTTTCCATAATAAAGATACCAAAATGTTTCACGTGTGTCTTATTTATCACCTCGTTGGTTCTCTGAACCATTTATCTACATTCCTGTCAGACAAAGCAACATCCTGGGATCTTGATACAGGGAATTCTACGCTTGCCTAAATATACAGGCATAAGCTACTTCCACCTATGGATTTGTCCAGGGTGACACTACCTACAACTGTTTCACCTCACTTGTGTGCAGTATATAAGCCCTTCTTTGTGCATATACTGTATTCTTATCAAGACTGATGGACTTATTACATCAACTCCAGGCTAGGGGACTGATTACCTCAAATTCTTTCTTATCTTCACCATTCTTCTATGTACTGGACTAATGAAGCCACTGTGTGGTGAAACATTTCCATAATAAAGATATTTAAATGTTGCAAACGTGTCTAATTTATCAGTAATTATTAAGGATATCTTGGGACAAGCAGTTTGATGTGAGGAAATAAAATGCTATTTTAGCCATTCCAGAAAGTATTGAGAGTGAGGAACTCTCTAATGATAGAGTATTATCAAGAATTTAAGAGTACTACATGGTATTGTCTGATGATATAAGCTTTGCACTCATGCTTGACATGTAGGCTGGTAGTTTTGAGATTTTGAGAACACTTTGGCAGATGATTCAGATCTCCTGGCAATAAAAAAAAATGCCATTTTTTTATTTCACAGTTAGCTGCACACCACAAGCTACACAGCAGATGAGGAAGTGGACTAACTTATTACATCAGCTTTCATGTAAATTTTATTCTTGCATGCTCTCCTACCCATCATTAATCCCTATCCTTGCACACTCCTGATCCTCACTCCCTTCTACTCTTCGTACTTTCCTCCTCTACACATCTCTTTCATTGTTGGTGCTGTAGTACTACTGTTCACAAGCCAGTGTTGGTGCCATAGTACTACCCCAAAATTCTAGCAGCTTCAAATCTAGCAAGAGATAGCTGGTAGACCTACATATTAGAGAATGGGTCTGAGTGGTCAGTGTGCACAGTATAAAAAAAATCCTGCAACACACAGTGCATAATAATGAGGGAAAAAACTCTGACCGTGTTTTTGGTTTAAAATGCTGACTTTGTGGTGTACAGTGGAACCTCAAATATTGAACTGCTCCCAACTCAACCAATTATGTAAGTGTATTTTTGTAAGTGCTTTTATAAGTGTATTTTTGAAGGTCTGAAATGAACTAATCTAATTTACATTATTCCTGATGGGAATAAATTCGTTTGGTAACAGCACTCAAACAGCCGTCTGGAACAAAGAAAGTTTGATATTTGAGGTTCCACTGTATTTCTGTATGGTTGCAATCACATTTTCTTGGTCTCATTTGATAGAATGGATGACATATTACAGAAATAGATATGATTTTGATTGGTTTCACGAAGAAAAGTACCTTGAAATTGAGCTCAAAGTAGTGAAAATGTTTGATTTTTGCCATTGTTCAAGAGTAAACAAATCATGCCACGCATTCAATACACGTCAACCGGTGAGTCTCATATTCTTTCACAAATGTGCTAATATTATTTATAACATTTTTATAATAATGCAGTAGTCTGCATAACAGTAAATCTTCTATCTTTTGTGAATAAAAGTTCAAAATGGAAAGCAAGCATAATACAAGAGGGCCTGGAGACGTGACTAAGGAACAGAGAAAATGTTATTTTAGTGATAGGAGTGTCTACATTGTTTATCCTGGCCTGTTTTGAAATTGGTCTTATTTGAATTGTGTATGAAATTGGCCAAATTACCAATTTCTGATCACTTTACTGGGTAGTTGAAATTAGGAAATGAGCAGTTTCTTGTGCTCAGTCGATTGAACAAATGGAGTTCTAGCAAAATAGTTATGAGTTTGGTCGACTGGAACAATGGAATTGGCTGAAAATAGGGCTCAAAGTGGGCAAAACTGCTGCTGCATAAATATCGCCGAGACACTAATGTCGCAGGAGCATAGTTCTGCACGATTTCCATCAAATTTTGTATTTTTGGTGTCATTACCGTCGGGAAAAGATTCTCTATCATTTTATAAAAAAAATAATTTTTTTTTTATTTTTCGACACTGAGAGCAAGTTCGTGAGTAGGGGTCTCTACAGTGAAAGGGTTAAGGCTTAGCATTTCACTTTATTATATTATTATTACTACTACACATCGAAGGAAGAGGGGTTCATCTGCAAACAGGCAGCTATGGGTGAGTCATGGGTGTCTCATCCTCAATTAACAGTCTTCTTGGTCATGATTCCTGCTGAAGGGGCAGGTCCAAACACCTATATCCTTCCAAACCCTGAATCACTTCTTGTCTGTAGTATCCACTGGTCTGCAAGTTTCTAAGGACATATCTATGTATGTGCCCCATGAAGTCACCGTTACAGTTTGCTACAGAGCCTGCACAACATGAATGGACCAATGTGACACACATGACTATACAAACATCACTCATGCCTCACACATTGCTTCTGCCAAGTGCTGCTGTACCAGAAACATGGGTGTATCATTGCTCAATGCATTCAGAGCATTTCTAGTATAAACATAAAAGAAATTAGTGCTAGCTACCTTCCATAAAGTTGTAACCTGACAAATTCTAGAAAGATTTCAATAGTAGCCATGTCTATCCTCAGCTGAGAGACACTAAAGCACACACCTGGCACTTTGTGTATGAAAGAGAATCACCTCATTGAGCCTCTGCCTGCTATAGGTAGGAAGAAAAATACTCCAACAAACTGTGTCAAGAAAAACTAAAAATACAGTGGACCCCCGCTTAACGATCACCTCCAAATGCGACCAATTATGTAAGTGCATTTATGTAAGTGCTTTTGTACGTGTATGTTTGGGGGTCTGAAATGGACTAATCTATTTCACAATATTCCTTATGAGAAAAAATTCGGTCAGTACTGGCACCTGAACATACTACTGGAATGAATAAAGTTCGTTAACCGGGGGTCCACTGTATATAAAAGTTTGTGTGATAAATCAGCATAACTAGGCTTCAGGGTCCTAATCTTCACAACTGTAGAAAAGTAAGTTTCTTAATATTTGGTGTCTTTTTAATGGTTTACCATGCTCAGCAATATTATAAGGAAGAGATTTAATTAACTGCAAGCAAAAACAAAACTGAGGTTGACAAGGTGCTGGGCAGTAGTTACAGTTGAAAACTGATGGTGGGTTGTTTATTAGGAAAGAATGACAGTTTCTCTTGGATACAGTGTCTGTCTTATGATGACCCACTACGAGGAGCTTTTGGTCATTAACCCGTAAACGGTCCAAACGTATATATATGTTTTTTCAACATTTGAAGTATGTAAAAAAGTAGATCTTCTTTTTGTTTTTTTACATTTGAAAATGTGTAAAAAAAAACTTTGATCTACTTTTTTTTTTGTTATACTTGAAAATATGTAAAAAACGTAGATCTACTTTTGTAGCACTACACATGTGAACGTAGATCTGCTTGGACCGTTTACGGGTTAAATACAATTTGATGCATTACTCACGAATACCTATTTATCAAAGTTACTTCCTAAACTACCAATTTAAAACTTCCTTGCTACATTTTATCTTATCTGGAGAGAGTTCCGGGGGTCAACGCCCCCGCGGCCCGGTCTGTGACCAGGCCTCCTTAGGTCAGTGTCCCAGGATGCGACCCACACCAGTCAACTAACACCCAGGTACCCATTTTACTGATGGGGAACATAGACAACAGGTGGAAAGACACACGTCCAATGTTTCTACTCTGGCTGGGAATCGAACCCAGGCCCTCACCGTGTGAAGCGAGAGCGTTAACCACCAGGCCACCAGAGCCCATAGTTATCATTCCTTCCTAATTCCTTTCTATAAATAAATTCTCATTTTCTATGCAGTGTCAATTATTCCTACCCAGAGACCATTCTTAACACCAGAGCTATAACAGCTGGAAAAGAGGAAGTTGGTAGTTGTCATAGTTCATAGAACCATATTAATAGGTTTTAATTCTTAAATAATACTGTTCCGCCTCTGACAATCCACTCAGGAATCCAATTACCAGTACTTAAACCCTGAGAAGACTGCTGTAACTAGAAGGCAGGCATTGTATCATAGCACTAGTACAGGAGATTCCTCTTAATTATGCTTGTTTAGCCCCTAAATGGTCCAAACGTATATATATGTTCTTATGGGTGGCGCCCCAAACTTATATATACGTTTTAATTTTCCTGCCTCCAAATTTGGCACGATTGCCCTGAGATGCCTGGTCAGCACAGAATGGGTCATAACACTCTGTGTGCACCTTATTAACAAATCTGGGACCATTTAGTACCTTGTAGGAGCGCCAGTTAAATTGAGTGCCAGCTAGAGCAAACAGTGCGGCAAATACCAAGGATTCACTGATGTAATGTCATATTAACACTCCTCTTTTAAGAGGAAAGTGATGTTAACCCCAAATTTAGGGTCTGTCGATCTCTGTCTCTGTCTACCTCTGTCTATCTGTCTCTATCTGTGTCTGTTTCTGTCTGTCTTTGTCTATCTGTCTCTGTCTATCTCTTTCAATCTGTCTCTATCTCTGTCTCACAGGTTCACATAAATACAGGTATACATAGTGTAAATTATCTAGGATAACCCAAAATATCCAGATAAAGTGCTATACTCTGCTTGAAGATGTGAGTAAACGTAATGACGCAGTCTTGTGGCTCTCTCTGAGACAGACAGCTAGACGGATAGACAGATAGGGAGCTTGACAGACAGACATGTTTGTGTACCAGCGAAAACAAAGCCAGGGCCCATGCTCATCAAATGTCACCTCTAATCTTTTCTTATCAAGTGTTATCACTGCACCCTCGCGTATTGTCATTCATAAGTAGCTCTTATCAATTGTTTATCTCATCTTATCATGTCACAGGTCAGGGGTTGGACTTTGTTTTTCATGCTTCAAAGGGAAATTATTATTACCTATTATTATTATTACATATTCTTCTTCTCCTCCTCCTCTCTTCCTTCTCCTCCTCCTCTCTACCTCCTCCTCTTCCTCCTCTCCTTCTTCTCCTCCTCCCCTCCTTCTCCCTCTCCTCCTTCTCCTCCTCCTTCTCTACTCCTTCTCCTTCTCCTCTCCTCCTCCTCCTCCTCCTCCTCCTCCTCCTTCTCCTCTTTCTCCTTTTCCTCCTCCTCCTTCTCCTCATTATTATTATATACTTCCACCATATCCAAAAACATTCGTGGGACTATAAACCACCTACTTTGTTTATTCCAAGACAATAGTAAATGACCAAGGCAGGTGTAAATGTCCACCTGTCAGTGTGTTTGTGACAATTTGAGTACAATTTCAGTTCCTAATACTAGTGTCAGAACAAAGATTGGTTATGAAATGACAAGAACTACTATAAATTGTAATTATCAGAACATAAAAATTATATAAAATACAGTGGACCCCCGCATAACGATCACCTCCGAATGCGACCAATTATGTAAGTGTATTTATGTAAGTGCGTTTGTACGTGTATGTTTGGGGGTCTGAAATGGACTAATCTACTTCACAATATTCCTTATGAGAACAAATTCGGTTAGTACTGGCACCTAAACATACTTCTGGAGAGAAAAAATATCGTTAACCGGGGGTCCACTGTAATATGAAAAATAGAAAAAAAGGTATATTGGCAACACTTCTGCAAGCGGCAGGACTCGATGCTGCCTTCACATGAGCATCCGGTGCCAACTTTTCGGCCTCATATCTCTGTAAGTACTGCCCCCTAATTTTTCTTTATTCTAAAACACTTAAAAAAATGTGCTCTTTTTTCTATAAATTTTTTTTTTTTTTCAAAATACTCGGGGCGCTGAGCAAGAGAACGTATATATACGTTTGTACTGTTTAAGGGTTAACAAGCACTGTTGAAAAAACTAGACAACCAGAATGGGAAAGCAAAGGGTTTCTTTTGCAGCCCTAAGCAAAACACTATATCCTAAGAATAGGAAGTGAATATTTCTACCTTCCTGCTAGGCAGGAGTGTTGAACATTGCATTTGTGCCCAATCACATGAAGTTTCACATTCAGCCTGCCCAAACGTTTTAGTGTAATCGCTGACAACAACATATTTCACATATATACTTGTGGTTACAGCACTGAAGGAGACTCATCTGGTATAGACTAACAGTGCTCCGTTAGTAAGAGGTGCTATCAAAAAGTTCCCACTCAAATTTTCGCCCACTCCTTGAGTGAAATATGGAGGTGGAATAAATCACATTGTGCAGTAAACTCCTTTGTGAAGCAGCGTGGCAAGTTTCAGTGTAGTCAGTCATTCCTAGTGAGATTTAGACGGGCATTTTTTGACATATTGTCAGTGCGTTGTGATTTTTGTATGTAACAGAATGGAATCTTAAAAAGAAAGAACACTGTGTGTGTGCGAAATTCTGTTTCAAGCTCAGTAAAATGACTACTAAAAATCAGGAGGAGAATAAGGGTGAGTATAGGCTAACACAAAAATATAACCAATGATAAATACTATCTATATATGGCAAAGAAAGTAACATCATTAAAAGCCAGACTATAAAGTAATGGTAAGTAATGCTATCTATATAAGGTGAAGAAAATAAGGCAAGTAAAGCCTAAACCATAAAATCATTTTATGCTCAAGAAGAAAAAATACAATACCTCAATCACCAGCTTCTTAAATAAGTCCTTCTTTGTTTTCTCCAGCTTGCTGTTCTTCACATTCGGATTTTGAGAGGGACTGAGAAGTTTCTCTTCGAAGCGTTGGACATCGTCAGTAGACACACCAGGAAGCCCAAGAAGTACCTGTTACAAGCTTAAAGTGAATTTACACGATCAAACATTAATTGAATGGGAAACAGTTTGTTCACCCAATGATATAACTATCTTAATAACAATCTTTAAAACATGTACATACATACATACCTCCTTTCCTCCTCCTCCTCTCTCTCTCTCTCCCCCTTTTACCTTGTATGAGTTAACGGTTACAGGGATCATCACCCTAGAGATCTAGCATCAGACTAGCCCTTCTAAACTGGAAAAGAATCATTAGAGGAAAAGGAAGTCTTAGGAAAATCAGAGGAAATTAATTAACCCTTCCAGGGTCTGTCCTGCATATCTATGGCTTTGAAGCCAGGGTCCAAACTGTAGATCTACGCCATGAGTTCAGCTCACTCAGATAACCTGTGAGCAGTAAATTTAGGCCTAGACATGAGAAAACACATCTAAGCGGTAAGTGTGCACCACATATAACAAATCTTGCAGCACGCAGTGCATAATGAGAGAAAAAAAACTGTGACTGTAATTCTGGATTAAAACAGCAACTTTCTGGTGTTTTTTTGTATATTTTTTGCAGATGTATTCATGATTTCTTGGTCTCATTTGACAGAATGGAATATATGTTTACAGAGATAGAGATGATTTTGATTGGTTTTAGTACTGATAATGGCTTGAAACTGAGTTCAAAGTAGTGGAAATGTTAAATTTTTGCCGATGTTCAAGACTATACAAATGTCTTCACAAGTTTAATACGCATTAGCTGGTAGGTCTAATATACGTTCATGAATGTGCTGATATTATTTATACAATTATTACAACACTGCATAACAGTAAATCTTCTATTTTTTTGGTGTGAATAAAAATTCATTGTGTGAATAAAAAATCAAAATGGAATTCATTTGTAAATCCTGAAAAAACAACTAATGAACAGAGGAAATGTTAGTTTAGTGCCAAGAATGCTTGCATTGTTTATTCTCGACCCTATATTGAAATTGGAATACAGTGGACCCTCGCCCAACGCTGGCATCGTCTAACAATAAAATCGCCTAACGATGCGTTTCTGCGTAAAAATATTGGCTCAACCAATGGTGAAAAACTCAGGTAAGGACATTTGTCCCGAACGCGTCCACCTTCCGCCATTCAGCCTGAGTGCCTCAGATGCCCTGCAGTCAGCTAGTGTGCCATTGTTTACAAGCCAGGGCAGACGGTTCCACACATACATGCAATATATTTTGTATTATTCCATTGTTTTTAGTACAGTGGTCCCTCGTTTTTCGTAATTAATCCGTTCCTGGAGGAGCTACTATAAACGAAATTTACGATTTGCGAATCAATTTTCCCCATAAGAAATAATGTAAATACAATTAATCCGTTCCTGACACCCAGAAGTATTAAAACAAAAAAAATTTTTACATGAAATATACATGTAGTACATAAACAATACAATGGGAAATGATGAATGAAACATTAACAGCATAACGCTTACCTTTATTGGAGATTCTTCTTAGTGTATGGGAGACTGGAGGAGGAGAGAGATTGGATTGTTTACAGTTTGGAAGGGGAATCCCCTTCCATCAACACCTCAGGTACCAATTGCTTTTCTGGGGTTACTTCTCTTCTCTGTTTCTTAATGCCACTAGGACCACCATGAGAGTCACTGGAGTCCTGTCTCGCAAAATAACTGTGGAGAGAGAGCTCTGTTTCTGGCGTCTCTTTAACACTTCCCTAAAATGGCCCAAGACTTTGTCACTGTACATATTTCTCACCTTCTTTACCACAGGCTTGGCACTAGGAGCTTTCTTTCGAGCCATGGTAGCTTATTTAGTACTTGCAAGCACTAAAATGAGTGGAATATTATGAAATATTTCGTAGGAGCACTTGAGGGGACCTTCACTCACTGGTAAACAATGCCAGACTGGCTGGGTAGGGAGGCCTCCCCGGCTCACACCGTGCTTACGCGTTCCGGACAAACTACTATTCGCAAGTCAACCTATGAAAAGCGAGTCCATGTTTATACGAAAATACCCCTATGATTGGCGAAATTTACGATTGCCGAGAACTACGAAAAGCGAGGGACCACTGTTCTTGTAACTGCTAAATAAGCCGCCAAGGGCCCAAAGAAAGCTTCTAGTGCCAACCCTGTGGTAAAAAGGGTGAGAAATACTATCATATCATGGTCAGCTGTTGCTGCACCACCGTCAGCTGCTGCTGTACCACCGTCAGCAGCTGCTCTACCACCGGCTGCTGCTGCTGTTGCTGCACCACCATCAGCTGCTGCTGTACCACCGTCAGCTGCTGCTGTACCACCATCAGCTGCTACTGTACCACTGTCAGCTGTTGCTGCACCACCGTCAGCTGCTGCTGCACCACAGTCAGCTGCTGCTGCACCAATGTCAGCTGCTGCTGTACCACGGTCAGCTGCTGCTGTACCACGGTCAGCTGCTGCTGTACCACGGTCAACTGCTGCTGTACCGCCATCAGCTGCTGCTGCACCACCGTCAGCTGTGCTACTTGAAGATGTGGAGAGACTGTTGTTGGTGTGGTTTAACGAGAAACAATTACCGAGAAACAATTAACCCCAGAGTGTTAGCCACCCAGGATAACCCAAGAAAATCAGTGTGTCATCGAGGACTGTCAAACTTATTTCCATTGGGGTCCTTAATCTTGTCCCCCAGGATGTGACCCATACCAGTCAACTAACACCCAGGTGAACAGGAAAAAATGCCTGGAACTAGTGCTCATATTGGTGAATTTAAGGCCAGCAAAGGTTAGTTTGAAAGATTTAAGAATCGTAGTGGCATACACAGTGTGATAAGGCATGGCAAAGCTGAAAATTTCCAACCCCAACAAGTGTTCAATTGTGACGAAACAGGCCTGTTCTGGAAGAAAATGCCAAACAGGACCACATTACTCAGGAAGAAAAGACACTCCCAGGACACAAACCTATGAAAGACAGGCTAACTCTCATGTTTTGTTGTAATGCTAGTGGGGATTGCAAAGTGAAGCCTTTACTCATGTATCACTCTGAAAATCCCAGAGTGTTCAAGAAAAACAGTGTCTCATCACTCATCAATACTCTTCAATAAAGGTAAACGTCATTTTAGCATTTATTTATGTAGTTTTTGTGCATGTCTCATTGTTTTCTTTGTAGGGAAATGTATATTTCATGAAAAAAAAAAATTAATACTTTTGGCTGCCTGGAACGGATTAATTGGATTTCCCTTATTTCTTATGGGAAAATTAATTTGGCTAACGATAAATTCGGCTAAGGACAAGCTCTCTGGAGCCGATTAATATCGTTGGTCGAGGGTCCACTGTATTTTGAACTCTGTGTTAAAAAAGCCAAATTACCAATTGTTTGTTTGAAACAGTTGACTGGGCAATTTCTTGTGCTCAATCAATAAAATATAAGTAATAACAGTGAAATAGCTAAGAATTTGGCTGACTGGAATAATGTAATTAGCCTAAAATGGGAGTCAAAGTCGTCAAAATCGCCAATGCTGACGCAGCAAAATTCACGCAAGCGTAATTTTGTAGGTTTTCCATCAAATTTTATACTATTTAGTATTTATTTTTTATTACCTTCAGAAAAAGATTCTCCACCATTTCATAAGAAAAAATAAAAAAAATTTTTTTTTTAAATTCTTGGACATTGGCTGTCACTCAGAAATTTGGCTTCTGGACCCTGCAAGGGTTAAATATGTATGTGTAAAGAATTTAAGGAAAAGTTTATAAGAGATGCCTGCCATCCTACACATTCACAAAACAAAAATCAGCAATCCTGCCAGGATGCACAATATTTAACAAATTTCCATTTCACACAAACATGACTGGATTATTGTACTGTACCTTCCTGGAAAGTTGCCAACAAGCTTCTACGGTGGCAGTCTGTCTAGTTCAATTCCCTTTTTTTTACTATTACTGCAAATTAGTTTCATTACTCTGTAGACTGGTTGGGTGTGCATTTCACATACATGTACAGTAGGGCCCCGCTTTACGGTGTTTCGCTTTACGGCGTTCCGCTAATACGGTCATTTCAAATTATGACAAAAACTCGCTATACGGCTCCCCCCACCTGACTTTCTAATACGGTCACAGTGCCCCACCTGGTTTGTTTACATTCTCTGTGAGATCTGTAAGCACTAAGTCTCTCCATTATGTCTGGAAACTCCAAAATCTTAAGTGTTTTTAAAAGTTATTTCATATTTTATATATACTCTGATAATTATACTTATGTATACGTGTACTTAACCCTTTGACTGTTTCAGGCCCCTCTCTGAAACTGTCATTCTATGTCGCTCAATTTTTGAAAAAAAAAAAAATTATTTTTTCTTATGAAATGATAGAGAATCTTTTCCCGATGGTAATGACACCAAAAGTTCGAAATTTGGTCGAAAACTCATGGAATTACGCTCCCGCGAAGTTAGCGGTCTCAGCGACATATGCGTATCGGCGATTTTGCCGACTTTGGGCCCTATTTTCAGCCAATTCCATTGTTCCAGTTGACCAAACTCATAGCTATTTCTTTAGAACTCCATTTTATCTATCAGCGGAGTACAAGAAACCTCCCATTTACTAATTTGGACTACCCAATATGGTGGTCAGAAATTGGCAATTTGGCCAATTTCACGCAAACTAAAAAAGATGCCAATTTCAAAATAGGGTCCAGAATAAACAAGGTAGACATTCGTGGCACTAAAATAACATATGATCTGTTCATTAGTCACATCTCTAGGCCCCTCTTATATTATTATTGCTTTCTATTTTGATTTTTTATTCCTACAAAAATATAAAAAATTTACTGTTATGCAGACTACTGCATTATTGTAAAAATGGTATAAATAATATCAGTGCACTAGTGAAAGAATATTAGACTCCCCAGTTGACGTGTATTGGACGTGTGGTGTGATTTATTTACTCCTGAACATTGGTAAAAATCGAACATTTCCGCTACTTTGAGCTCAGTTTCAAGGTAGTTTTCATCGTCAAAGTAATGAAAATCATCTCTATTTCTGTAATATGTTTTC